CATGAAATTGTCTTTCTTTTCTTTGACTCCATGAAATTATTGTCTTTCTATTTCTGACTCCATGAAATTGTCTTCATCTAAATTTTTCCTTTTCTTCTTTTGGTCCTTTCTGTCTTATATTATTATTATCATTTCTTGTTTTCCCTTGCATATCATCCCTTCATCATTCTGTGAGAACCTGTCCTATGGGCAGGTGAGAAGGCATCTCTGCCTGTTCATTTGGTGAAGTAAAATAAACAACAACAACACAACAAGCCGTACATCTCACACACCACGAGCAGTATTTCTGTACACGCAGCAACAATGTACATTGTAAACTTCAAATTATTTGCCGTTATGTGAGCGAATCAACTGCAATTATTTATGCGAGTAACAATTTCTCACCGCTCTCAAAGCATCCTTTACATAGGCAGCGGTACTTGTGACCGTGCGCTGTTCTTCATGTTCTGGCTGCTCGCTGACAACAGGTTCTTCCACGTCTGGCGGAGTGTGACTGTCATCAGTCCGCTCCGAAAGTTCAACTGGAATAACAGCGACTTCATCACTCCCACTGTTTCCTGTTGGAGCGGCAGCAGGAGTTGCGCCGCCACAGGAACGATTTACAAAAATTCCAGGCTCTGCTGGCTAGAGCTTGGCCTTTTGGGATGTCCCTGAGACATCGAAGAAAAGCCTTCGAGTCAACCAAAACACGATTCGAACGAGGATGATCGCCTGAGCCCTCGGCATTCGAATCGTGTTTTGGTTGACTCGATCGAAGACTTTTCTTCGATGTTTGTACCGTTGAAGACGCGTCGAGCGCGTCCCAGCATAGCTAGCAGGGATCACACTGTACAACAGGACACAGTCAGGTCACCATGTTTCTGTAGCCGTGCATGCTCACTGTACGTGGACTCTACTCTGTAGACTGTACTGTAGACTGTAGACTGTACTATGTAGTATAGTCTGTAGTGTGTACAATCAACACCAGCTCGAGCACCGTACCGTGCAACCGCTTTTGGACAATCGTTTCAGGCCGCGCGCGCCCCGAGCCTCTCTACTAGTACTAGCTCTAGCTAGACCCGGCGCCCTGCCTTTTATTTTTCGAAACCTAGGTCGAAATTTTTCAGGGGGGGGGTGCGCCCCCCCCCCCCCCCTAAACCCGCCTCTGGTAGCTGTATAGTCTGTTTCAAAAAGATTTACAATCAGGTTTGGGTCTTAAAAAGTATGAAGATAAGGGAAATTTGGACAACAAAGTACATAGAATGGCTTGTTAGGACACGGCAAATTGTTCTGTGAAGGTTTCGGAACAATTGGACCAACCGTTAAGGAGTTAGAATTTCGGCCAGGTTTCCGGCCTTTTCCCATGGTTTACAATTTGCCCAGGAAGCCAGTATCGATTTTTTATCAAAACCCACGATTTCTCCTTTCCTTTTTGGCCTTGTGGTTATGAATGCTGTCTGCTGACCATGAAGTTGTGAGTTCAAATCCCAACCTATCCTCAAGTCAAACTTTTTTTTCATTGTTTTGGTGATCAAGCTGGTACAAGACAAAGAAGATGGCTGCACCAAACGACTTGTTGTTGGAGGTCGCGCTTCCTGCCGAACTGACTGACACTTGACTGGCTCACGCCATGTGAACACACCCACAACACTGCAATGGTGTGAGTGAATATGGAAGTCATCGCGCTGTAGCTTTTCGAGATTTATTTTTAGTATTTCAAGATCGCCAATTTATTTGAATTTAGCAGTCAACGCCGTCTTCTATCAGCGTTCACAAGCGTCTGTTTTTCTCAAAATGTCGTCGAAGTCACACGGATAGCTTTGCCAAGTCATGGCCTTGGGAATGAGTCCGTGTCGATGTCGTTTTCGTCACACGGTGAGTGAATTGCATCGCAGCTCAAAGAAACTATTTTGGTCACAAAACGGATTGGGACACATGCCGCTCGTCAACATTTACAACACTTTCGTTTCGACATGTCCTCTCTGACTCCATTATCGATACGAAGAAGAACTCGTTTGTTGTAAACCAGACGTACGTCCATGACTGTGTCAATTCGTCAACGTGAGTGAGTTGTCATTTTTCCTGCTTTCGCGCGAAATATTTCTTCGAGTTCACAGTGAGTTTTTCCAGGCAGCGCTCGAGTGCTCATACGGTAAGACGCCAAACTCCGCGGGCGATCGCCAGGGTTGTAAATCTTTTTGAAACGGACTGTAGTTTTAAAATGATTATATTCTACATGTTACCGCCACATTTACTGATTGCGTTTGCGGAAATTCCTAAAATATACTACGTCTACTACTACTCAATTTACCACACAAAGGACTGAATGAAGTAGGGAAATAATCATCCCATGATCTTCTACAATGTGAATGCTTCCACGTACGCGCATGTCATTGTGCAGCATCCTAAACTTCAACAAAACAATGATTCAAAGAGACATTATTCAAGATAAGTCATGCATTTCTACGTTCACTGGTATAATCAAAGATTCCGTTCAAGGCAGCTGCCATGGTGTGTACCTTACCACCTTTAACACACGTTGTCAGTCCGCTCATTGACTAGCATGAAATCGTTTTTAGCAGGAGTACTCTTGTTTGTAGTGAGGTTCAATGTACAAAACACCATTGGTAAAAACAATCCAGAGTCACCTCGATGGAGACGGACAGTTCCTACGAGACCTGCCTGTCGACATCAGGGTCAAGTGGCAAGTCATTTAGCCGTTACGCACGACAATCTCAGGAACACTAGTCATGTCCTCCTCCGACGAACCAGCTACTGTATGTTACTTCAGAACTCAGAACGACACAATTATACAAACAGAATGAAAAATGCTTCATCGACGGTGTGACTTTGCGTTTCGCTTCGTGTTTCTTTGTGTTTCTCTTGAAAATCTAGCAAAATTGAGTCATTCGCATGAAAATGTCTGGTTACGTCATCGAAAACCGCTGATTTTCCCCATTTTTCAAGCGCTGAATGGCGCAAAAACTGTGAAATCACGGCAACGAAATAGTGTTCGACGAGCGAACAAACCTCCTTGCACCGGCATTGGTGCACAGCTTCGGGACGGCCAAGTTCTCAAATCGTCCTCTAGAGACCCTTACCTACCTCTGTGCGAAGTTTCAAGTCCTCCCTCTGAAGTGGCATACCCCGAAAATAAAAAGCATCCTACAGATTTCAGCTCCCGGACTAATTGGTTTGCAGGCCTGCCTGCGAATTGTAGTATCCCTGCCTTGCTAGTACTATGTAATATCTACTGACCTCTAATCATGTCACATGTACACGTACACGCACTGCATGACTCTTGTCACTCCTTTGCTGACAAGCCTGCAAAGCTAATTATATCACTTCTCACCACTTGTGTTTCTCTTGCGCTTGCTGGATGTATCTTTGCTAGTTTAGATCATCACACCTGTATGTACATGTAGAACTATTACACCCACATGTTGTACTGTACCTCCCTGACCCTGACTGAGGTCATGCGGACAGTCATGACCCTTTCTAGATCCTGTTTGCATCCATTTGCTAATGCCCTCCCTGGCCTCTGTTCTCCTCCAAAGTTCCGTTTGCTTCTTTCATCCTTATACATTTAGATACTGTTGCTATGCCTTCCCAAGTTCAGTTTGGACTGACACAACAGACTTTTGCCCTTTTTCATGACTCATGGCTCATGCAGACTCTATGATGATCTCCTTCCTTTTCGCCCTATAAAAGCTGCCATGCTTTACTCATTTCTTTAGAACATAACATAACAGAACAGAACAGAACAGAGTCCCTCCTGGCAGATTGAGCCGGAGCAGTTGTATTCCTTTCAGTGTCCCTCCAGGCAGATTGAGCCGGAGCAGTTGTATACATAACTTCAGGCAGATTGAGCCGAATAACATAATATTAGTCAGTCTTCTTGTGTGTGCCTCCTGATACCACTCGGCGACCTATAATACAGAATCATGAGCTCCCGAGTTCGAGACCCGCGCTGGTAGCAGGGAGCGTGTAAAGACTTTTTACGTGAGTAAAGACTTTTTATGCGTGGTGAACTGCGCCGACACCCACGGTCAACTGGGTACTCACAGCTCGGAGTGAGGGTAACAAGGATGCAGTTTACAGGGTTATGGGCCGTTACACGCCCGATTGGTTGAGAGACTCACCTCCTCCCCTGACTCACTTGTGAGGTCTGCATTCGCCACTAAGGTGTGCAAGGCATAGGCATAGTGGTGGCCTGCGGAAGCGAAGGCTAGTTTGTGTGTTTCTGAACATTCAAGCGATGCCGACGCGAATCCCGCGAATTATTTTATTATTTTATTATGTCCACTGGCAATCAGCATACGTACTGTGAGCCCTAAAGTTTGCAATATCGTACAGAGGCCAGAGATACCATCGGAACCAATATGAAAAATTATTATCTTTCATCTTAGCCCTACTTGAAAAATCGATGCACTTCCCCTTTAAATTTAAAGGTGTTAGTAGTACATGACTTTTTACTGTTACGACTTACGTGTCTACACAATCACACAGTCATGACTCATGTGCCGGTACAATAACAATGACTATAGTCGCAGCTCATCATGACAATCATCATATTGATGACTGTAATCTGTAGGCTATTATACTAAACTAAAGAGTAAAGTCTAACGGACCTTAGTCAGCAGGTACTAGTATAGTACTATTACTAGTAGAAGTATGCCAAGCCAAGGCGGCTGCTCACTGGCATGGGCGCTGAGTGGGTTCAAGTGATGACCTCGAGCTAAAATGAGAACGCGTGGATGGCAACCCTATATGGCCTAGCCCCACGTAGACCATAGACCTAGGCTACGTAGCTAGCTACTACTATACTAGTAAGTACATGTAGTAGTCTACCACTGTACCAGGGATCTAGGATGTGACGGCCCGGGCCAAGACTAGCGTAGTAGCGGGCCAAGCTAGCTAGGCTTCGTAGATCTACGTGTAGTTCAGTGCACACGTGTATTAGTATCTGATAAAACCCATGCAAACAGTGAAATTTTTGTTTACTTCGTTCATATGCCTATCTCTGCAAGGTCAGTCATTTTTGCTGTGAGCGAGACGAACGTCAGTCAGTCGTTGTTGTCGTCGAGCTACTGCACTAGGCTATAAAAAGCTAGTCATTTCACTCTCAGTGTCATTTTGCAAGACATTCTAGACGAAGACGCTTCGACTTTTGTGTCTCGTGGCTCTGGTGGCATGTCATTTAGGTTGCCTGACCTGGTTTAATTTTGTTTCGTCCATCTGAATCAAACGTTATCAAAATCCTCAGTGGTAGTATTCAGACGTTTTCGGGTTCTGCGGTTCTTCTCTAGAACTGTGAGCGATCTTACTGGTGGGCTCAACTGAACCGTGCACAACTCCTCTCTCAGCTGAAGTTTCAAACATGGCGGCAAAGGAGCCTCGTGTTTCTGGCAAACAGATGGAGCAGTGGTCAAGGTACGTTTATGCATAAGTATGATCACTTGTTCTACAGAAAACCAAATCTCTGCTACAGTCATGTAGTTATAGGAGTCAGGCTTTGTATGAAAGGCAGCTTGCAAGGTGAAGTTAGATTGGCAATGATCTTACCTGATTTGAATTTCCTATTTTCTATCCATTTACTATTCATCCGATGTATTTTACAAGTAATTTTACATCCCAAATCAAATAGGTATGCACATAGCCAGCAATCGCAGGTTATCACCTAGATATAATAATAATCTGCATAACGGTAAAAGTAACTTAGTTTAGAATGGAACTTGCTGAAGTTTCAAATATGGCGGCAAAGGAGCCTCGTGTTTCTGGCAAACAGATGAAGCAGTGGTCAAGGTACGTTTATGCATAAGTATGATCACTTGTTCTACAGAAAACCAAATCTCTGCTACAGTCATGTAGTTATAGGAGTCAGGCTTTGTGTGAAAGGCAGCTTGCAAGGTGAAGTTAGATTGGCAATGATCTTACCTGATTTGAATTTCCTATTTTCTATCCACTTACTATTCATCCCATGTATTTTACAAGTAATTTTACATCCCAAATCAAATAGGCAAGTATGCACATAGCCAGCAATTGCAGGTTATCACCTAGTTATAATAATAATCTGCAAAACGGTAAAAGTAACTTAGTTTAGAATGGAATTTTTGCTCAGCGTCACCCTTTTAACCAGGCCGTAACGAGGTCGGCCGCAGGAATCCTAGAGAAAGAGAATCCTCCTCTCCACTGCTCAACCAGGATGCTGACATAGGTCCGAAAATAGACAACTAAAAGGTACGCAGGAAACCTTTACGCCCAAGGCTGCGCAGACTTTGGCCTACTAGTATTTTAACATACAAGTAAATTCAAAATTTACGAGGAGCACACAAAAAATCTCTATTGAAACCTAGGCAATCTGCGCAGTTCCAAACTGGAAAATGGAAACACTGGTGGTAGGAATTCACACCGGCGCAGTGAGTCCAGTTCCAGTCTTCTATATCGAAGTTTACCGCGCCTAGTGTAATCCAGTGAAAACAACACAGCCTCAATCGAATGTTGCCTTTGTTTCATGAGCGCCAAAGACAGAAGTAATCTGTGCCAGAAGATTGTGCTCTTATGGAGGTACCTATGTATACATACATACATAAAATTAATACAAACAAACATACAAATATACATACAAACATACATTTTGATCTTGATCTTGATCCTGCTGCCAAGCCTCGCTACATACACACATAAATACATACATTCAAGAAGCACACCCATATACACCCACTCCAATGTTGCAGCCCATCCACCCAGTGATACATATGCTGCTTTGTCTTCGTTATTTCTTCCATTTGGTTTCTATATGTCTGGTTCACACAGGATTCAGCGGAATATCCGATGTAGTATCATCAAAGAGGATCGATTCGGTCGCCCAGGAGCAACCCTGAGGTCGTCAATTAACATCATTGGTGGACTTGATATTTCGTACAGCAGCAACGACAACCAGACGGCCGTGGCTGCGCTATCGCTATATAACTACCATACCATGCAACACATGCATACATTTAAGATTCCCGTCAAAATAACCGTACCATACAAATCCGGCTTCTTGGCGTATCGAGAAGTCGAGCATTATGTCACGTTGCTGGAGACGCTTAAGAAGGAACACCCCCAGTGGAAGCCACAGGTGCTTTTGGTGGATGGCAATGGAATTTGCACCACAGAGGCTGTGGCTCAGCCAGCCATCTAGGAGTTGTGGCTGACGTGCCCACCATTGGTGTAGCCAAAAAACTACTTATTCCAGCGGTTCAAGCCCGAAGTGAGCGACAATTCCGAGATGTAAGTGAAAGACTTCACTATGTTCTTGCCCTGGAACATTCGTTAGGAATACTCGCATCTACTTCTTCATCTACAGGCAGGCACAGTGGGTTGGTCAAAGACCATGATTGAGATACGAGAGGTACCTGAGAGGTACCTGGTTCAAGTCCTGCCTGGGAGCGGTTTTTCCAGCCGTGCTGCTACCCACAGTCAACTGGGAACTTGTGGCCAGGCACAAGGGGTACATGGATGCAGCTAATGGGGTCGTTTTTGGCACTTGTGCCAGTGGTTGTGAGACTTATCCACTCACCCCCACCGTCAGGCGCTGCATCTGCCGCTAGGGTTTATCGGGTGTTAGCGGCCGTCGTGAGTTCCCTTCGGGAACGGACACGATAATTTACTTTTTTTTTTTTTTTTTACTTCTTTATCTTTGCCGTGATGATGCCCATTTCACACAATATTGGCTGTAATTCATTATTATTCCTGTCGTGCAACTGAGTGAAATTTTCGGAGATGGAGGGGATAGCAAGTGAAAAGTTCTTAGCTTAGGATATGGTCCCAGTGATAATCATCTGTCCCTGTTGAAAGTTTAACACTTGCGTCTTTTTAACCCTTTTGGCATCCACAGGACAATATCAAACACCTTTGCCAAAACAGAGGCACGGCTCCAGTGATTGGAAAGGGTAAGACCGGCATCATTGGAGTAGCCAGCGTCAACAAAGGTGGATCAACACCCGTCTATATTTCAGTGGGCCACAGAGTGTCTCTGAATACTGCAGTTAGAATAGTCCAGCAGTGCTATCGAGGCAATTGTAGAATTCCAGCTCCTATAGACAGTGCTGATCAAGAATCCCGGCAACAGGTTGGTGCAAGAACAAGAGATACTCGCCCGCGTGTGAATGCCAAGCCTAGAGATCGCAACAGTTACCACGGAGCAGTGCAGCAGGTCGACATGGACACGTCTGGCGGCAAGGATTCCACGACTTCCACCACACATGACGTTCAGCAGGAGACTCCAAATACAGCTCCACTGAAGGCCCAGTCATCAGATAACGCCCAAGGGACTCCTGGTTTCCCTGCTCCTCTACGTGGCAAAGCAGCTCACACCTCCCCAGACGACGAGGGCTTCACCTAGGCTACTGGAAAACATACATTCAAGCCCAAGGCATCCCCGTCAGAGCAACACATCACCCGATCCACAGGTAACATGGGCTACCTAAGCATCAGCCACCGAGAGGGAGAGGCATTTGGAACGCATTGCAGCTACCCGCAGAGGAAGTGCTAGTGCAATCAAGGTAATTACAGGGGCGTCGGAACCGGTGCGGCAGGTGCGGCCAAAGCCGCACCAATAATTTTGGAAGTTTTTTTTTTTTTTTTTTTTCATTTTCAACCTTGTTGACACTTGTACAGGTACCATGTTTTACATCGACAATGCGGTGTGTCATCAGCATGCATATTCTTATTTCTCATATTATTCTGTAGCATTAAAATAATGGCCTTTTAGGCCCAATTTTTAAAAAAAAATCCCGGGGGAGGACCCCCGGACCCCCCTCTCACACTTTCGCCGCACCAATGTTGAACTGCTTCCGACGCCCCTGAATTAATGGCTTAAGTTGTGTTTGCACTCTCATAACTCACCATTATGTATCATACAAGTTGCCAACTATACCAACAGGACACCCGTGGAAACCCTAATGAAATCCCATTTCATCCTAGCTCACAGCCCTCTAATTACTCCCTTTTATCGAACATCCACATAAATCCTAGCATCGCATCAGAGTCTGTCACACGATAAACTGCTGGAACTGTAAAGATAGGCTTCATTAATTCATGCAGCCTTCGACATAAGATACACCACATCACTACCCCTCTCCAGGAACGCACTGGGAAATCCTGCGCAGTTACGTAGACACATTCTACGTAGATCGAAGTCAGAGCACGTCGAGAAACGCATCTTCTAGCTTGTATATACCGATCTTAAGACGAACCTGTGTCATACGTGTACTGGCCTCTCGTGCGTCGCCAAAGACAGTAAGAGCCTGAGGGGGCATACTGGTGTTCGAGGATGTATTGCTGTTCGAAGAAACTCAATTTCCATTGAATGTGTGAATTGTGAACTGTAATGTCTCGCCCAATACAACATGTACATCGTTGATGTTGAAATATTTCGCAGCGTGTATAATAATCACCTGTGGTTTACATGGTGTAGCTTCGTGCTCTCGAGTGTCCCTGGGTATCACTGACCATGCTGGTAATGTTTTCCTTTGGTCATTTTTTATTCTCTGCTTCAGCAAAAACTGGATGCTGCCACCCGGGATTCGTCTTCGAACAGCGACCCTGATGAGGTTCCTGTCGCTATGGGCAAGCGGAAGGCTACCCCAGCAACGCCAACCAGGGATAACCTTGATGATTATGTTCTTCTACACTTTGTTATGTGAGATTTTCAACTCGCTTGCTAGCCTTCCTACTTTGTTGTATCCCATTTACTTTAGCATTCCTGATGTGTGTCCATACCCCTGCTTGATGATTTAACTCCAGTTTCATTGGCTACCTTTAATTCCGTAAACTCCACTGATGATCGGGACAGAAGATATATTACTCGCCGGCCGAGCGGAGCGAGTGACGTTAGAAATGATTTCTCGCGCAACAAAATTATTTTTCTTGCTAATATGGAATCTGGTGTTTTCTCTTTTTGTTGCTGTTCTTTTTGCCTGACTTCTTCAGTCAGTTTTTTGTGTCTAACCAGTGTCCCCACCCTCCCACGTTTCATGTCTGCCCGTCTTCTTATCTTTCTTTCTTGGCTGTAGATATGTTGTTCCAGTATTATGCTGCCATATTACCACTTGGGGTTATACACCCGGTCTTTTTCTCTCCTTTGTGCGTTCGTCGGCGCGAGGGTTTTTTCCCGGCTGGCTCGGTCCAGAGAAATTAATCTGACGGTCCCAAGTGGTGCTTGTCCTGACTTATTTATGTTAGGTGAATGCAATCACTTTTCTTCCTGGGGTCTGTCTCCCTGTTGTTGCTCCTAGTTTCTTCTGCATTCCGGTTCACATCTGGCTAAGGCCTACTAGTATACTACCCTCACTCTGTGTGCTCCTGCCTCTGTTGTCTGGGTCCATGTCCTTATGTCGGTGTATGTGGAGCGAGAACATCGGTTCTGGATTATAATATTCCTGTTACACTACTACTACTAGGACACACATACATATCGAACAAGCAACTTACATGTAGTTGCGTGATATATGCAGCCTTCATTATATTTACAGCTCTATTAAAGTTATTAACTCCTCAAAGGTTGTAACATAGAAAATGAATAGAAAATATGAAGTTCAAATCAGGTTCCAGATCCGTGACTGTCTCACGTCGCCTTGTATGCTTTCGTTCATGTCTAGTCTTACCCTTACAATTGGTAGAGGTTTGGTTTTCTGTAGAACAAGAGGTCAAACCGAAATGTATGCAGAACCGTACCTTGACCAGCGCTTCATCTGTTTGCCGCAAATATGACGCTGGTTTGACGCCTTGCTTGAAACTTCGGCTGTTGGAGGAATTTTGCACACCTTAGTTGATCTCACCCGTACAGACTGTATATTTCCGAAATCCATAGTCTATGGTGGTAAAGACTAAAGACACACCTGGCAATATGGCGGTAAACACACGCCTGCCCACACAAGCTCTCTAGGCTGCAAAGTTCTGGCACAGAGCTCTCCTTCTTACCACCACCACCATCACTCAGTCCATCAGTTCAGGCGCGAACTGATGGTGGTGGTGGTGAGAAGGAGAGCTCTGTGCCAGAACTTTGCAGCCTAGAGAACGTGTGTGGGCAGGCGTGTGTTTACCGCCATATTGCCAGGTGTATCTTTACCACCATATTTATCAACCATAAGTACAGCTGCAGTGGCGTCTTCAACTTCATTCTAACTTTCCCACAACCATGGTTTTACCCGTGTGTGTGTGTGTGTGTGAATCCCCTGTATTGACAACATTGTGTTTAGTCACAATGTGAAAACTAACGACACCACTATTGAGACACTTTGTCTACATAAGTTTCTACGTACGGTGTTCAATACCTGGAACAGGGAGCTACTCCATGGCTCGTACCATTGGGTGGCCCGCCCCGTGCGTGTACATGGTTGAAATTTCATTGTAGCCTTCTCGGATGTGCATGCACAAGGAACTTCTTACACATATCCAGTAGTTGGAGTTGGAACGTGCTGGTGGTCGCAAGGGTTGGGGATTTTCCGCGAAATATAGTCCCGCGCGAAATGGTTTCCATGAACGCGCTCCGTTTCCAATCGTTTTCACTGTTTTCACCGTTTACACGAGAACGAAAACATTTTGAAAACGTTTTGAAAACGTTTCAAAACACGTTGAAGTGCATTTCCATTCCGTTCCATTTGGGTATCATTTTCGGGCATTGTCGTGTAAACAATCGTAGTAAACGCAACGATTTCGTTCCGTTTAGGTCGTACTTCATTGTCGTGTAAATGCAAATCGTTTTCAATCGTTGTCGTGTTTGTTTGTGTGTTTGTGTCACGCCTGGCGCTATCCGTATCTGTCCCGTACCGTACCGTAATATCAAACACAGCTGGCCACATTCTCAAACGCAAGATCATAACGTGAAGCAACTTGGAAGAATGAGTAAGAATGCGAAGTGTATGGGGGAATGCATGTGGGGCGATAGTGCGGGTTCGAATTCCAGGTAATGCCTGAAAAAAGAGGAGAATTAAAAAAATTATAACATCCCTTTTCTTTTTTGCCGTCATCAAGGCGGTAGACGGTGTCGTATTACCCTCGACCGTACCTGTCCCGTACCTGTCTGTCCCGAACCTGTCCCGTACCTATCCCTACCGTACCGTACATTCAAAGACGGCTGGCCACAATGCATATTCAAATAGTATTGATATAGGGCTTTCAAATACAAGATCATAACGTGAAGCAACTTGGAAGAATTAGTATGTATGCAAAGTGTATCGAGGGATGCATGCAGGGCGATAGTGCGGGTTCGAATCCCAAGTAATGTCCAAAAACAAAAAGCAGAAATATAGCTATGAATAGGATGAAGGCCGCAGACGTCACGCAACCACGTACCTTGTTTGACATGTATTTACTGTGCATTTTGTAACAAACATATTTTTGAAAACCCAACATCGATTTTCTTGTTCCTATCATCAGTGGTTACGTAATCTTGTTACCTTTTTGCGTTTCCTCTAGTGGTTTCATTGCACTTGTATCTTGATGTTATTTCTAACACCTTTCTATTTACAGTACTAAACTTCAATTTCTTTGGTTGTATCCTTAGTTCCGTATCTTTTCCCACTGATGATAGGAACAAGAAAATTGATTATGGGTTTTCAATAATATTTTGGTTATAAAATACACAGTAAATACATGTCAAACAAGTAACGTAGTTGCGTTATGTCTGCGGCCTTCATCCTATTCATAGCTATATTAAAAATTATATCTCCACGTAGATTACTTATCAGAATTGATAGCATCCCTATGCTTTTTTGTCTAGGTCATCAAGGCAAAACAGCATAGCGTAGGGCCCTGAGTTTCCAAGCTCTCTCGTTTTGAACAGCCTAGCCCTGATTTTTTTCTCATTATGTAGCATTTACAATGTATATAGTTTTCCTCCCTGTTTATTTCTATTGCATGCTTTGCATCACGTGATCAATCCACTACATGTATACAGGCCATCGCCTCTGATCTGCGAGATCCTGTAAACGAGAGAGCTTGGAAGCTCAGGGCCCTACGCTATGCTTTGTTGCCTAGCTCATCGTGCATGTTGTTAGAACTGATGGAAATGCTTTTTCCTTTGATTAGCTACATCATTGTATTGCAAAAACGTTTCAATGAGATACTGAAGTAACGTCTTCTGCATAGCTATGGGACCAGCGCTGACTCTGCCGATCACGGGCGTTCTGGAGTCGACGGGATGTCTGTCCTGACCGGCGCTGACTCTGCCGATCACGGGCGTTCTTCTTCTTATTATTAAAGGGGAACTGTCACCAAAATATTTCTTTGTCTTATCTTGTAGTTCTTTGGCTCCTAATCACGATGGTGTTATTCGTTTTCCTCTGCGATGACTGGAAGTGGGTGAAAACTTGAAAAGAAGGTGCCCAAAATTGTCCCGAAGTACCGAGTGACGTCACGCCGGACTTGACCTCCACGCGTACATTCATCGTCAAAAACGAAGTCCAGCTCGTGTGCTGGTCGATCGAGCCAACTGTTCATGTACGGTGCACGCTTGCCTTCTGAACTCGGACACTGATGTGTACGTTGTACATAATGAGAACGCCAAAAAGGGACAAAACAAACAAAAGTCGACAGAAGTTTGTCACACTGGTACTTCCTCCACGAAGCTCCAGCTCTTTGTTTTATTTGTGATTAGGGGCCGTCCAAGGTTACCAATAATATTTTCAAAACGAAATGTTTTCGTTTGTGGGTGGGTGGGTTTGATGGAGTTTCGTTTTGAAAACAATTATTGAATGCTGATGGAGAATGCCCAGTTACTTCTGGGTGTCGAAAATTGACATCAATATTTAGAAAAGCGATCCTGTCAGCTTTTCTATTATTGTGTTCACATGGCAGAAAAAACGACATCGCTATGCTACGTAAGTTTCTACGTAAGGTGCTCGGTATTTCACTTAGGCTACGTAAGTCTCTACGTAAAGTGCTCGGTATTAGATCTACCAACGGGTGGTAGCCGCGTGCTGTGCACTGCACGGCAGACATTGTGTTGCAGTGCAGTCCGTGTTCGGATGTGCATTCGCGAGGAACTTCCGGATTCCTTCTTTGGAACTGCTTCTTGTATGAGCTGTTTCGGATATTTCGTCTCCTGGCCTGGCTTATTTCGTTTCGGCGCTGCTCAATGACAGGTGAGTTGACCAGTTGCCTTTGATTCATTTGCTTGTGTTGACTCTTTCATTCAGGAAAAGTGTGCGTTGACCAGTTCCCTTTGATTCATTTGCTTGTTTTCTTTCATTTACGAAAAGTGTGCTGATTTTGGGCGGAATGTAATAAATAATGGAAAAGCTGACAGGATCTCTTTCGCTGACAGGTGATCTCTGAGTTGACCGGTTTCCTTCGATTCATTTGCTTATGCTCACCCCTTCATTTACGGAAACGTGTGCTGATTTTATTCGGATTTAGATCAATTTTTATCTCTTTGCCCTTGTCTACAGTGTGCGAAGAACGCGAGTTCACATTCTTGGCGGTAAGGCTTATGTTAGATGTGTTGTCGAAATACTCATAATCATTGTACATTGGTACGTTACAAGTAAGGCACTGGTCAGTGGCATACTATCGTTGGCAGTTCAAGGTTCAAGGACCCATTGACCGAGTTTGCAAATTAAATTCGCATATCAGGGAAAATCTCCATTGTGGAGAGCTTCAGTAAACTTGTTTGCTTCATACGAAACAAGCCAATGGGCGCAGTCTCGTCTCGTGAAGATCTCCTTCTTGTATGATTGGATTTGTATACTCGAGTCTGGGCGGTTTGATTTATTATTTGTGAGTACCGCCGAGATTGCACTGCCCCAAATAAAGTTTCGTGCCGCCAAAGCAAGAATTACGATCTGCAATCTGTTTGTAGTACCTGCAAGAATGTGCTGTACATGTATCGTACTTTCTCTGTTGCTGTTTCAGTTGCCGTCATGTTGCTAAAGAAAGGTTCAGTAGATAGAGAGGTTCTGCAAAACGAAAATTCGAACGAAGTTTCGTTACAGTCCTTGCGAAAGTGTGTACGAATTTTTGCACGAACTTTGCGTTCTGCACATTTTCGTAGTTTGCGCGGGCCAAGTGCACGTACGCCATGACCCGATCTCACGAAATTTCCTACGACAGTTCATTTCGCGTTCCCTGCAAGTTTCGCGTCCAAAGTTGCGAAAGTTCTTGCGAAGTTGCATTTTCGTTTTGCACAACCTCTCTAGTGACTCATTTGTTTCATACGAGACGACAATGTAGTCAATGAGTTGGTGTGGCTTAGAATCTTTCGCTGTAGAAGAAATCTATTCGTATGTCTATTGGAGAAATAATTGTATTCACTGGTTATAAAATAGGTTAAGACAAACTCACAGAATAAA